AAATTAAAAGTTTTCAGCTGTAATAAAATTCACTGCATGAAAGGGATTGCTGCAAACCAGAGGTTAGTTTGCATGCCTCTTTATGTCTGTGTAAAAGTTATTTCATGGGGTTTACAGTGCACTTGTGTGTAGTTTGGTTAGAGCTAAAGGTATAAATGCTTAATGATGTGTAGGAGATGTTTCTTTAGGGAACGAGTTGCTCATTAAGTCTCCACAACAAGAAAGCAACATAGTAGAGCATGATAGGGGAACCCGGTAGGTGACTCAGAGCTGCAAATAAAGAGAAGGGGCTTCTCATTAGGGGAGTTTCAGCGCTGTAATCCACTTTATTTTACAGGATCATTTCGATGCTAGCAGTAAGTTAGGGGATCTGGTTTTACTTCAAACTCTAATGGTGAAGATGTGGGGGAAGGGTCTTTGGTTTTCAAAAAAACATCAACATTATTTGCATCTTTCACTCAGCCTAGTTTAACTCACTTAATTTATTGTCATGGGTAGAGATGTCCCGATCCAGGTTTTTGCACTTCCGATCCCGATATTGTTTTTGGACTTCCGATCCGATACGATACTGGCCGATACCAGCCTATCCGAGCATGTATTTAAGTTTAAGTTAAAGTATTTAGCCTTAGTTGTAAGACTCATGTTGAAAAGGGTTTAAGTACTCTTGATAACATCTAGCCAGCTGAATTAGGTGAGATTGAATAAAACACAATGATTGGTAACAACAAACTTTCCTGTTTATTAAGAGATAAACACAAACTGGACAAAATTATGAATAGCAATCTGAAATTGCACAGTGAACAGTAAAACCGTAAACAGTTAAAGGTGCAAGTATTACTGTAAGTTTTAATAAAAATGCAAAACAGGGATAACACTGGCGCAAAATAGTGGAATGGATCGTTTCAATCGGCGAAACTGGAAAATACGGACCGGATTTTTTTTTTTAAAACTGGATCGGCATTCTGGATCGGCATTTTACATGCTTTGCCGATACGCATTTTTTTGCCAATATCGGCGTCCCGATCCGATACGCGGATCGGATCGGGACAAGCCTAGTCATGGGTCTAATACACCACATTTTTTAATCTCTGCAGCCTGCTTTTTAAGAAAATGCACATAGAGTATATAGTGTACACAGATTCAGGGAAGTCTATTGCAAACATGTCCGCCATGAATAGGCGCAGATGGCACTCTGTAACTCTTGGGTTTATTGTCTTTTTTTTAAGATGATCTAGTTTTATTATTGTATTGCATGTTGTGGAAGGGTTCACATTCAGAAAAAATAGTTAATCTAAGTGTGAGGTCTTGGTTCTGATCAGAATAAGGTTGAGTTCTCCCTTTAGGCCTGGGGGAAAGTCTTTGAAGTTCAATATCATATGTGTCTTTCTCACAAGTAATGTTGGACGTGTATAAATGGATTGTGGCCTTATCTACAATATTTGGATATGGCTTTAGTTTATTATGGTGGCGATGAGCTAAACAAAAAAAAAAGAAAACACATGGTGAGAAGATATAAATCATCAATTAAAAAAAATCTTGTGTAACCACAATTAGGAAATTAACTCTTGGACAGTGTAACTCCCCCCTCTGGTAGTAGAGCAAAGGGAATCAGTTAAATTTGTTCGAACATCTGATCAGGACATCTCGCTGACACTTGTCTTCAACTTCCATCCATCTGTGTCTGAAACAGTATTTTTAACTCTATCAATCAGACATTTGTAAACGGGTAAACTCTTAATATTAATAGCTGCGGTTTTTAAAATCCTGTTTAAAACTTCTTACAACCATTGTTTGTTTTTTTATTTAAAAACACTGAATATCAAATAGCGGTTGAAAAAAATTAACAAATATTTATGATTATTTGCCTGTAAACAGAAGACAATGAGAACATGCTTTGCTCGGCCAATATAAGGACGTGATGATGAACAAATGCATTAGTTGAATATTCAGCCACAAACTGAACTCCTGACACTTATTCCACATATAAGCAACATCGCAAAAATCACATCTGTTATGGCTTCAGGATGACTTGACAGGAGTGAGACATTGCCGACTTTTTTGTTCTAACCTGTTGACATGAGAGCCAAAAAGAAGGTATGAATGTTCTACCCCAGCAAAATGCTGCGATCATGAAACCAGCGCCAGACCTGAGGCTTCTTCTTAAACCTCAGCTTGCTTGTGTGTTTCACCAGAAGACGAGGAGAATGGGAGACAGAGGGAGCGGGAAGCAGAGGCCGACATGCAGTTGCATCACTAAATAACTGGGTGTACGTGCACTGCAAGGCTTAGTTTGGTTTTATTCATTCATTCATTATTGGAGCAGCAGTGAACAATCCTGCCAGCTTGAAACGCCCATTTTAATTCAAACAGACTCTGCAGCCGCTGATGTCAGTAATGCCTCACGCTTTTTTTTTTAATTTCTTTTATCTCATTCTGGTTTTTATCTTTAGCATTAGTTTTTCTCTTTTCATTCTAACATATGCTCTGAAATGCCGCACTCCACTCTACCTTTTTCTGAATGGTCGATTGCAATGAATTATTGGTGACGTACTGATGTCAGACCAAATGCTGGAGACATGCAGACAGATGGCTAATTGAAGGTTTACTGAATGGATGTCACTTTCCATTTAACTAACAGTAATTTCCTAGTCAATCTTACGTATTTGCTTTTCTGTAGCAGCTCTAGGTGAGGTACACATAACAAAACCATCAGCTATCAAGGCTCACATTTATTTTTTGGCACGGCTTGGAAAAATTCTTTGGAATGAGCATAAGATCATTTACCAGACTTACAGCAGAACTAATGTAAATGCTTGTTGTAGCAATGACCTTATAAGATGCTCTCCCTGGAGCTCAGAGAATGGTCTATAAATCAAAGAATGGATCAGCAACTCAATACATTACAGATTTGTTGTCAGTGTGTCAACCTCCCAGTCCACCCAGGTCTTCCAGTTCCAGTCTACTCTGCACCCAGAACAAAAACCAAACATGGGGAAGCAGCATTTAGTTCCTATTCTCCACTGGGAAAAAGTCCTAGAAGACTGTAAAAGTGTGGAAAGCCTGAGTTGTTTGAAGTCAAAGTAAAAAAAAAAAAAAGTTTAAAACTACCTTTGACTGTTAAGTTAAACTGCTAACTTGGGTATTAGTTTAAGGTTGTGGTCCAACTGTTAATTTCTTTATCCCGCTTTTTTAACTTGCTTTTAATCTGCTTTTTTGTGGTCCAATTGTTTTGTTTTCCTTTTTTTTCTTTCATTCTACTTTTCTTCTATTTTATTATCTAATTCATTTAAAGCACTTTGAATTGTCCATGTACTGATTTGTGCTATACAAATTAAATTGCCTTGCCTTGCCTTGCCTCTCTCTGCAAACATGAAGATTCACTCCTCTCAGTGCCTCATTTCTTAGGATTAATTCACAGGGAGCTTTGTGTGTTTTTTCTATTCGTATACAGTCTGATCATTATTCTTTGATTTTTTATTTGATCCCAATACATACAATAAATGTCAAACGAAGCAGCTGAATAGAACAGTGAAACAGATGATGGGAAATTCTGAAACTCTAAATTCAGGTTGTTCAACAAAAGAAAAAACTATCTTTTGTGGTTCTGAAAAGTAAAACAGACAGAATATATACCTAGATTACTGGAAAAAATGGATATGGGGAAGAGAGGCTGGATCTGAAAAAACTAGATGAGACAAGCAGAAGTTTAAAATCCGCTTACACAGCAAAAAAAGACAAACCAAAACCCACAGAGCATGAACGCTTTGTTTGGAGCTTTATTAACGGATACTAAACGGAGAATATGTGCTCACTAGTTTATAGATACAGACACAAGGAATATTTTGACTTTTTTTGCTAAAACAAAATAAATACAAAATGCCCATGAATGCAGAGCCATACCAATCCAACGTTTTATGATTCCAAGGTTTTTTGGAGAGAGAGCCTACAATCATCTAAGTAAAGTTGGACTTACTTTACTTTTCATTACAAAAAATGTGTCGGTTCAGATTAGAACTATACTGTTTACATCCATCAGACCTATTAGAGTGTTACAGAAACCTTTTTCAGAAAAGCACTCTTCTTCACAGCTGCTTGAGGCGTGAAATGCTGTTGTGTTTGAGATATTGATATCTTGTTGACTCAGTGGTGACTCTGCTCATTCACAGTGATGTAGAACTATTCCCTAGGAAGCAGAGGAAAAGAGCTCGACCAGTGTTTGTTAGGCATCAATTCCTGAGGCATGTAGAGAGCTGGTCCCCAGCCAATACTGTTGTCATCACATTAAGCTGCAGAAATAAATGGCTCCTCAGGATGTCCTCGTAGTTATGTGACCATGTGAAAGAGCTAAACGTTTTTACTCTCGTATACATGCCGTCTTGGGTTGCTACTGCTAATTTATTCTACTTCTCCAATATATCTTTAAAGCTATAGTGGAGGATGTTCTTTTTCCGGATGGATCATTAAAATAAGTGGTCCTCCTAATTGTCAAATCTTTCTGCTGATATGTTTACGTAAAGCCGTCCTAGGTGCTCGTAAACATTTTCACCTACAGGTGGTGAGTTTGACATAATGGAAAAATGCAAATCTTCTTTTGGAAAGTCAGCTTGTATGAGCGATGCAAACAGCAACTTTTAAACACAGCGTGCACGAGGAGGAATGGGCTTGTGCATGTTCTCGCACACGTTTAATATGCGTTCCCTCTCAGGAGCAGGTACAGGGTTGTGCATGTGCAAACTTTTTTTTAAAGTGGAGGGGGTGTGTCTTTTCAAAAATTCGGGAAAATGCTCCACTATATCTTTAAGTTTGTTTTAAATCACATGACTCAACAAGGGTGTACTGCAGAAACAGGACCAGATATCCCATTGCTTTGCCTTTTTGATCATTCATTAAATGTCAATGAAGAGATATTCCCTGAGTTTTTCTAACAATGTTATATTAGTTGAAATTTTTTTAACAAGATTGTGTTTATACCGTCTAACTGAGTGTTTTTCATCCCACAGGTTTTTGGGAACATGTCTTTCACTGAACTTTTCCAGGGGAGACCAGCACAGCCTTGTAGCCGGGGGATCCTGGAGAAACTTTTTCTAGACTTTCTCCTGAATTTTTTTATAGTTTGCACAGCAGCAGCTGTCTCAGTCCTCCCACAAATGCTCCCCCCTTGACATACAAGCTATTCCCTAAAAAAAACAACTTGGAAAGGCAGAATACAAAACTGAGTTTTACTCCAAGCCTTCCACATCGCCGACAGCTCTTGACATGTTCAGCCAATCTGTTGGTCAAGCAGTAGTACCCTGTGACACTTCTGCGCTTACAATCTGAGATCTGCCTGTGCTTCCCAACCTCGCTCTACCATGATGATGCTTTGGCTTCTGCTGCTTTTTTCAATTTGGGTGTGGTGTGAAGGAGCAGATTCCAGTGAACGGAGAGTTGTGGCGCACATGCCTGGGGACATCATCATTGGAGCTTTGTTCTCTGTCCATCACCAGCCCCCTGCTGACAAGGTGATTTCCTTTGTTTTTCTCTACTCCTGCAACATGGTCTCAAAAGTAGGCATGCAAATCTGATATTCTAGTTAAAGATTTCTCTAAGATCTTAGAGGGATGTTAGCAGTTAATGTTTTTTTTTAAATAACGATATAGCCCTTTGTCCTTAGCATAAATCCAGATTTGTAATCTCAGAGGGTAAAGCTCATGGTTACCTTAAGAGGAGACAAGTATCAAGAGAATATCTACCATTTTGAAACAGCCAAAATCTCAAAGAGAGGAAAGTGGTTTATGCAAATCCAGTAAAATCACATGCAACATGGCGGTATAGGTGTTGCGCCACCCATGATCTTCCCGTGTGAAACGTATTGTGAACAGAACCTTCTTAATCTGTCATAAAGATCAGTGGTGTTGCACCACTTGCCTTTCCTGTGTAAATAATTGTACTGTTAAATAACAACAACCCAATGCAAATGTTATGACTGTCTTTAATAATTGCCTGCTATGAGATTACTTCTGCTATATAACTGTAGAATTCTCAGAACAGCCGTTAGTGTTAGCCTACAGAAACAAATATTTTCAAATGACCCCAAATAAAAAGAAAAAAACAAGTTATCCAGTGGAGGTAAAATGTCAACTACTAACAACATTATCATATATTACAAAAAAAACCTGACATATCCTCTTATCAGTTACAGGAAAAATATTTTTGGAAAAATAACTGCTCATATTTATGGTATTATTTTTCCATATTTGTTCAGAGAGAATCCAAACAAAGCTGCTAGGCTTACCAAAGAAATATCTTTATTTTTTAAAATGGAAACCCTTTTGTGTTTGCAGCATCATGAACATTAGTTGCCTCAGTAACCAGTACTCACCCACTGACATTTAGGCTTTGTTTTTCATTCAAATATGAATAATCAAACAAAAACAACCTTTAGATATGTAAAGTATCTATTTTTTTATTTTTAGGTCAATTCAGGTCATTTTCCTTGATAGAAATTCATGACACCTTGACATAATTTGTTCTTTTTTGTTCGCTCAGGTTCACGAACGCAAGTGTGGCGCAGTGCGTGAGCAGTATGGCATCCAGAGGGTGGAGGCCATGATGCATACGCTGGACAGAATCAATGCTGACCAAAACATCCTTCCCAACATCACTTTGGGCTGCGAGATCCGGGACTCCTGTTGGCACTCCGCTGTGGCTCTGGAGCAGAGCATTGAGTTCATACGGGATTCTCTGGTGTCCTCTGATGATTCTGAGGATTGGGGTGGTGTGACATCTTGGGGAGGAGGAGGTGGAGGGGGAGGAGGAGGTGGAGGGGGAGGGACAATGAAGTGCTCAGACCCAGCTGCTACTCCAATGCGTGGAAAGAAGCCTATTGTCGGTTTAATTGGACCAGGATCAAGTTCAGTGGCTATCCAGGTGCAAAATCTGCTGCAGCTTTTCAACATACCGCAGATCGCCTACTCTGCCACAAGCATGGACCTCAGTGACAAGGTGAGCCAGGATCACTTTAGGAACGCAGAAGAAATTTTGAAACAAATGCATGATAATTTTTTTATATATTAAATCTGATATTTACATCCGGAAACTTTCATTTTATTTACAATCCACTTGATGCTTTTTGGTTTCAGAGCCTTTATAAATACTTTATGAGAGTGGTCCCTTCAGATGCCCAGCAAGCACGAGCCATGGTGGACATTGTCAAAAGATACAACTGGAGTTATGTGTCTGCTATCCACACTGAAGGTAAAACTATACACCTGTAAGATTCTTATGGAAACAATGGATTGGAAAGTGTTGTATAATAATATTATTAACCAGTGGTGGGAGTGTTGGCCTAGTGGTTAGAGCAGTGCGCTTGTGCTCTGAGAAAGTTGCAAGTACCCGGTTTGATCCCCACAGCCGACACTCTAGGTCTCTGAGCTTTAGGCTACATCCACATGAAGAGAAAAGGCTTATGATTTAGGAAAGCTTCTCTATAAGCACAAAGGCAGTTCAGTAAATGTGTGCATCCATAGTAATGTACTCAATAGGCCTGAGCTCCGTGAAAATATGCCAGACCTGCTGGTGGTGCTGTGACGTGATGTCACAAAGGAAACAAGATGGGAGTAGAGGATAGGGCATGCAGACAAGATTGCAGACGGCACCTTTGTTGTCATTTTCTGCACGCCTGTTTGAAGCAAGTGTCTCAGATAATGGTGTGGAGATCAAATAAAGTAATTGTGGCGAAATCCCCTGCATCAGAAGCCACTAAAAGATTATTATAATTCTGGTTGTTCCATAGTTAAATTGCTACCAGTCTTTGGTTTTTGACATTTTCCCTACCTCCAAACTGAGTTTATTCTCACACTAATATTCAGTCCCTTCAGTTTTTGCTTACTCCCCACTGGATTCTCTCATCAAATCCCTTTATAGTTCTATTCTTTGCCTGTCCTCCTCCTTTGCCTGTGCTAAACCAGCAGTTCATGTACAGTAAGTTTCTGTTTTTTGAATTTAAAAAACATTCACTAATCACCTGATTGTACCTTCTTCCTGCCTGCTTTGGGGTTTTTGTAATTCATTTTCTGTAAATGTATTAGTAGTAGTTGCCTACCCTGTAGTAGAAAGGAGTTATGTCACAATGAGCTTGTTGAAAATTAAAAAAATAATTGGAGTGGTGGATGGCTGACGATTTACCAGATGTATGCTGGTGAATGTACCAGATGTACATCGTCAGTGTTAGCTGATTCTGCCATGTAAACAGCCGAATGCTTTAGTTTACATTTAATCTGTGTTTATCGTGCCAAGACATATTTACACTAGGGCTGCAACTAACAATTATTTAGCTAATCAATCTGTTGATTATTCTTTCAATTAATCAATTAATAATCACATGTCAAAAGTTTCCTTAGAGAAGTTTTTTTTTTTTTATACAGAATTACAGAAGGTGAAATAAAAACTTTTCTATTTGTGAAGTTCTGGATAGAAGAGTTTGAGAATAAAAGATTTAATCTTGTATAATTACGACTTTTCAGTGGGTTGCTCTGTCTGCAAAAAGCATGTTTTATAGTCTCTATACTCCAGTTAACGATTAATCGATTACTCAATTAATTGACGGTTATTTAGATTATCCAGTAATTGCATTTCATTTCAGTACTAAATTCCACTCAACTATGTTTCGGTTTTGTAAGAACTTTGACTAAATACAGCCTTCTGAGATATCCCTTAAACATAACTCGGCATTACTTTGCTATGCCTACTTCCTGCTGCCTTAATAATTTTCTTGCATCTTATCAAAGAAACACAAAAATCACTTAAAGAATGAAATGTTTTGTTTTTAGTCTTTACCAATCTCTACATTAAATATTGATATTTGATCCATACTTCCCACATTTCCATGCTCCAAATACACTCTTTTCATATACACAAGTTTTAACAAGAGACAATGTCCAAGCAGTAATGAACTGTTCAAAATCGAATTCTGAATTAATTATAGAAAGTTCTTAATTAATTAAAGAGAAAAGCAAAGTTATTTAACTGTTAAAATAAAAAAAGAAAGTAAATAAGGAGAATTGCAATCTGTAGGACTGCCACTGCAGCAGAGAGTTGTTTTTATTTTTCACTTTACGGAGGTAAAGGTAGTAGAAATTGAATTGAGACGGCTGGACTGAAGCCTGGCAGAAAGCTGATGAAGCAGTTGTGTCCAAAACTAGGGAAGTAGATTAGTAGGTGATGCATGCAGGACAGTCTGAACAAAAAGGTCTGTGGTTCTGCGAGAGAGACACAGCTGATGTAGTGTTTGAGCCTTTTGATCTGAAAAGAATCATAAAAAAACTTGTGAGCACTATTGAAGGATTTTATAAAAGGAAAAGAAAACCTCCTTTCGTTCCTCTTCCTCACTGATTGAGTTGCCATGAAGTTGAGTCACACAGCCTTTCAGTTCACTGCAGGGAGATGGTGGCGATAGTAGGACTGCCAGCGGAGGTGGAGGACAAAGCTGTTGAGTCTCTGTGCATGTGTCCACAAACAGGGTTTGCTGCTGCTTTAAAAGAGAGTGCAGACATCCAAAGAGATGCACATAAAAGATTCTGTCATCCTGCCTTTCTGTTGTCTAGTATACAGGAGCTTCTGCATGTGTGCTAGGCTTCTATGCTTTACTGAAGTACAGTGTGTCCAATCAACACATAGTGTGACAGCTTTATAAACACATTTAGAGAATATGAGGGAGGGGAGATGGAGTTATCTTTATTAAAGATGAGAAAAATATGCGGTATCTGATACTGAACTTTATAAAACACATTCTACATGTGATTTGATTTGTATGTAAAGCTGTAGCACATGCCACTTGAAGCTTTTGGTTTATGTGTGATTTATGATTACTTTCACATTTCAAAGGTTGGCAGTTTTAGTATTAGTCCTAAATCAATTTTGATGTGTGAAAAAGTTAAGGTTTTAATTTGGCAGTCATTCCATAGAAGTTTGTAAAAAGGAAAATGAACCAATAAATGGTATTAGTATTTAATGGGGACTTGGGGGTTCTGAGAGATTGCCTGCTTAGATGAAATGAGAAGATGAGAAACAGTAAAGGTTAAATTCCTCTCAAATACTCGTTAGACAAATTATGAATTTTAAAAGTGGAATCAGCTGATTAAACCCCTCATCCATTATAATCCTTTCAAATATACAATTCTGTTTAAAGGTGCCCCCCCCCCTTTTTTTTTTAAACAAATTATAATAAGATGCAAAAACAGCTTTAATAAATATTTTTTAAAAAGCCTGCATACAGATATTTCATTCAATAGTGGTGACATTTTTTTTTCCAAAACAACTTGGTTCTTTGAAGAAAATGTAAATGTCCTTGTTAATCTGTTAATTAACCATGATTAAGGTGATATTTGAACAACTGAGTTTCATTTCCTGTTGGAAAAACATGTTCATAAGACGTTTGGTGAAATATTGTAGAAGGGTCTGACATAAAACAAACAATAGAATAGCTTCCTACAGTTGTGCTTAAAAGTTTACATACCCTTCCTTCAAAAACAGAAAAAAATCACAGGTATTTTCTGCAATGTTCAGAAAATATTCAGTCAGACTTTCTGTACTTGTTGACAAGAATTGTCGGTTTACTGTTCATTAGCAATAGTCTTTAATTTGTCTGGGACAGTTTGTCTTTTAGATTTTTGTTTATTTATTTTTCTGAATTATCATGTAGTTAACTTCTACATACCGGTATCAATATTTCTTTAAATTTTTTATTATTTGAATTTTGGTCTTAATTTATAATTTTCTTGGAACGGTATGTAAGCTTTTCAAGCACAGCTGTATTAAAACATTTTTAGATTTCTATCTCAATTTCTAAGGAAAATCTCTGGTTATGTATGTAATCTTTTTTTGATTTATTCGGAAAAGGACCATGTGAAATTAGAACTAAATGTTATTATTTGATGCTCTGTACCAGAGTTAGCAAATGCTTAGTTTGCATGTATTAATTTGGGGCTGCTCTAATATTTTAGGTCTTAGACTAATGTTATAATAGAGAAAACACTTACATTCTTCTCTCCACTAGGTCCTGGATCAGTCTGTCCAGCCCTCATTTTGTTAAGTAACATACACAGCTGTACTTTATCAGGATAAAAAAAAAGAAAAAAAAGTTTTGCATTGTGGTCAAAGATTAAATTAGATTTAATTAGGAAACAGTGGAATACACTTAAAAAGAGATTTTTGCACAAAAAGTCACCAGTTTGGGTGAAATGGAACCACTTAGGGAAAATTCCTCCACAGCAATTTAAAAATCAATCCCTCTTGATCTCAGTTAAGAATTCATTTTCAGGTTTTCCCACATAGCAGCAGATTAGTTTGGAAACCGTTTCTTGCCTCTATGAATGAAAGTATGATTTAAAATTCTTCTTGTATTAAGTTATGTAACGAATTGTTGACCTGAACCATTTAGATGTGACAGAAAAAAAAACAACAGAATAAAAGAAGAATCAGTAATGTAAAAATGCTTTCTCCAGCGAATCTATTTTGCTCTTGACAAATTGTACATGTTGGTTTGATGGGAAGGCAAGTTTGAAATGATGATAAAACATAATTTATTTTGAGTTCACTTTTGTTCCCTTGCATACAGATTTGTTTTATTGAGTAGAGTAACTCATTTATGTAATGAAGGTATATTTTAGCTTACATACTATGCAAAACATTTTATTTTTCACTTAGTTCATTGTGTGTGAGAAATACAAAATACAGAAAGACAAAACAGAAGGGGAGGCTGAGTGATTAATGTGATCAAGAACAATTTTTGCAGAGTTTAAACTCATTCTGCAAGAACTTCATTATTTCCAGATTTCAGGTGCATAAGTTTTAATTTTACTATTTGTTGGGAAGGAGTCCCATGACACTTAGAAGTAACCTAATGGGGCAAAGCTTCTCCACGGCCTCCTAGTGCCTTCCAGTTACACCCTAATGACTGGACACACTGATGCTGTCAAAGAAAGAATCCCTATTATTTTATTTCAGGACTAATGGGATCGGGATAACCCTGTTTTGCAGGTTTTTGTCACGTTAGCAAAGCCTACTGAGGAGTTATTTTTTTCTCTTTTGAATTATGATGGGCTTATGACTGTGCAGGGATCATCTATACTGTTGAAAATAGGGAACACTGATATTTTAAGCCCTTTTTGGCAAAACACAGCCACACTCACTCTTCAATTATAATACCCTTTTCAAAGTGCTCCGGCTGCTGTTCACAAAACAACATTTAAAAACTG